CGATCTTGGTGAATCTAATGATTATGTGCCTTGGGGTTGGTCTTCTTGAGGAATATCTTTGTGGTGTTCTCTGTATTGCCTGGGGTTGAATAGTGTCCTGCTTTGCTAAATTAGGAAAATTTTCCTGGATAATGTCCTGGAGAGTATTTTCCAGCTTGAATTCATTCTCTCTGTCACATTCAGGTACACCAATCAAGCGTATATTAGGTCTTTTCACATAGTCCCATATTGCTTGGAGGCTTTGCTCATTCCTTTTTATCCTTTTTTCTCTATTCTTGTCTTGTCGTTTTGTTTCATTAAGTTGGTCTTCGACCTCTGATACCCTTTCTTCTGCTTGATCCATTCGGCTGTTTAAGCTTGTACATATTTCACTAAGTTCTCGTGTTGTATTTTTCAACTCCATAAGTTCATTTGTATTCCTCTCTATATTGTCTATTCTCTTCAACATTTCATCGAACCTTTTTTCCAAGTTCTTAGTTTCTTTACATTGGGTTAGAACAAGTTCCTTTAACTCCCAGAAGTTTCTTATCATCCACCTTTTAAAGCCTACTTCAGATAATGGAACACAGTCCTTTTCCATCAGGGCTTGTTCCGTTACTGATGAGTCCTTTTCCATCAGGACTTGTTCCGTTGCTGATGGGTTCTGATTTTGAGTATACTCGGTCTTCTTAGGCTGTTCTTTTCCCTTCATTGTAGATGAACCGCCTTTCTAATTAGGTTTCTGAGTCGACGTCCGACTTACTGATTCCCAGTGCTGGGATCTGAGCAACCCACTGTGGCGGCCTAAATAGCAGCAATAAGACTGATGGTGCTCTTCTGCCCGGGAATCTCTGGTCTGGCTTCCCTCTTGAGTCTGCAACAAGCGGCTCTGACTTCCCGGAGCTCCAAACTCCGGTCAGTAGGGGAAGCAGTCCCGTTGGCTCTGCATGAAGAGCTGCTACGCCAAGGCGCCGGCAAAACCACTGCGGCGGCCACAAGAGTCGCACTGGTGACCCATGGGGCTCCTCCACTGGGAATTGGCTAATCGGTGAGTGACGAAAATTCGTCTAAAGATGTGGCGTCCTCTCGTTCTCTGAGCTTTCACTGGGAGCTACAATCCTGAGCTGTTAGTGGTCGGCCATCTTGGATCGATCTCCGTGTTTTAACTTTTTTGAGATGGAGTCTTGCTCTGTCACCTAGGCTGGAGTGCAGTGGCATGATCTAGGCTCACTGCAACCTCTGTTTCCTGGGTTCAAGTGATTCCTCTGCTTCAGCCTCCCAAGTAGCTGAGACTACAGGTGTGCACCACCAAGCCCAGCTAATTTTTGTATTTTTAGTAGAGGCTGGGTTTTGCCATGTTGGCCAGGCCAGAATCTTTTAAGTTTTAAAATCCTTTCAAGAGCATTAAACATTATGATACATAAACATAATAGGGACTTTAAAAACAACAACAATAAAAAGTATGCATTTCAATTAGAAAGATGGGGAGAAATTATGATTGACAATAAATGTCAGAGTAATACTGAAGTGGGATGAAGAAGAGAAACTTATAGTTAATTGCTTTATTTTAGGAAAAAAATTTAATGAAAAAATGATCATGGTCTATAAACATTTTAATGGAATTTATATTCTGTTCTGTTTCTTTTCCTTTCTTTTTATTGTATTTGGGCTCTGGGGTTCATGTGCACATCCTGCATCCTGCAGGATTGTTGCATAGGTACATACATGCCATGGTGGTATTTCTTTATAATTTGCTTCTACTAGATTCAAAATCCATGGCAGAAGGAGCTAAAGCTTCAACAAATCTTTACTCAGAATAACACATGAGAAAATACAGTTTTCTAGTAGGTACTCATTAAATCTTTTTGAATAAACAAAAAAGTGAATGCAAAGCTGGGTAAAGGTTAGGTGTATATCTTGGTCAAGGGCACTATCTATAATTCTAGTTTGATTTAAACAGCAGAGAAAATATTCAGCCAGTTGGGTAAATTAAATATTTTGACACATTGCCTAGACAGCTTAAGTAATACCTATTCATTAATAAAATTAGGTAATTTATCTTAAAGTTAGTGCTGAAAAACAATCTATTCTTCATTTTTCATTTATAAATTTGGAGCCTAAAGTCTTATGTAAAATTGAAAGTCATACTTGAAAACCTTCACTTATTTATTTTAGGTACACAGACCTGCCTTGACCTCTTCTCCCTGCTTTTCTCCCCCTCTGCTCTTCCACACGCTCAGTTTCTTCATTAACTTCTGCTCTTGCACAAACAAGAGTAAAGGGAAATATTAAGACCAAATAGGTTACTCTTCAATGAAACTAAACAAATAAGAATTTCTAAATTATTCGTAATGATAAGGAGACCAATATTGATTTATTTATTTAGAAACAAAGTCTCTGTTGCCCAGACTAGATTGCAGTGGAACAGTCACGGCTCACTGCAACTTGCATCTCCTGGGCTCAAGTGATCCTCCCACCTCAGCCTCCAGAGTAGCTGGGACTATGGGTATGCACCACCATGCCTGGCTAATTTTGTAATTTTTGTAGAGATGAGGTTTCACCATGATGCCCAGCCTGGTCTTGAGCTCCGGAGCTCAAGAGACCTACCTGCCTCAGCCTCCCAAAGTAATAGGATTACAGGCGTGCACCAGGTAAGCCACTGAACCTAGCCCAATAGATTACTTTTAATAAGTTTTTGACATGCTATAGAAAAGTAAATAAATTTACTGGTTAATTCTCACATTTTCTGCTTTCATGATGACTTTCACTTGTAAAAGAGAAATTGTGACTTTTAAAATATCTGTAATATGGATAACTGGGATTATTGAGATGGAGCGAGACTCCATCTCAAAAAAGTTAAAACACTATATAATCGGTAAATCAGTATATTTGTATTTACTTCTTTTATCAAATTTTCACTATTTTTATTTGAAACTCAGAACTGAATCCTACCCAGTGGATAACTGGGTAAAGTAGGCAAAATATCTATAAACTTGGTTTATTACTAAAATATAATGTTATATAACTTTTCTTCTAGAAAAACAGGAAATGACATTATAAAATGTTCTTTTTACAAAATGGCAGTACATAAAAGTTAGAGAAAAATAAAATAATAATGCCTTATAGTTGTTTAGTACATTGTACTTTCTATATTGCTCTTATTTTATTTCTCTGGTTCTAAGCAAAGAGAAATGGCTAAATATATAACAGACTAAAATATAAAATAATCAAAATCATAAAGAGTTAAATCATGATTTGCTCATATTTTGGCTATTGGAAAGCATTTGAAAATAAATATTTCAATACTTTAATTCTAAAATAATGCCATTAAATTACAACTTCTCACAATTAACTTTTCAGGAGATAATCCAAACATAATTTGATCTAGACCATCTAATTTGATCTAGACCATCTACTGATAATCTATTTTGTGTTACTAAATATTAACTGAACTTGAAGATTTCTAAAAGAGATATTGTATATCTTCTTTAAAACTAAAAAATTACATAATCTACCGAAGTTTCAATATCAACATTTATGAAAACACTTTTAAAAATCATCCATACTTTTTATGTAAAACAAAACTCCTTTTATTTCATACTAAAAAAGATAAGGGAGGTTTTGGCTCCTCTTTTATGAAATAAAAAAAATGGAAAACTCACAATTGGGGACTTTAAAGGAAAATTGTGGTTTTACTTAACTTTATAGAGGAAAAAACAATGAAAAAGAGAATCTTTGTTGAGAAGCCCATCAGAAACTTCAACAACCCGACTTTTGGTATTAACAATAGGCTCTGTCTCCTGGTATATTTATTATTACAAAAAATAGAGCTACTTATATTTCAATAGACCATTGCTACAAAAGATATTAAAAATTCAATTAAAAATGTGCATAAACTATGGTTTCTGACTTTGTATGACAATAAATGATGTTGAAACTCTATCTTTAAAAATATTGAAGAGACAAAATGTTCCATAAATACTACTAAACTTTCCTTGGGAAAAGTAATTTAAAATTATATGCCCTTAATCTTATGCAAATAATTAAGAGCTATACAAATGCTGTGAATGCTTTTCATCAGGCAGTGTGACAGACCATCAGTCACAATAGCACTGGATTGTTCAAATTTATGGTACTTATAAATAAAAAGAACCACAAAACAGAAGTTGACCATCATCCAGTTAATAAGAATACAACTTATATCAACAAGTTATATAAGACTACAAAAGTATTGCTGCTCAAATGCAGCACACTTACAAATTTGTAACAAATAGGTTACAGAAATATGAGTTTTAATATAAACATATATAAAATGACAAGATTATTTTAGTGATACTTTGTATACTGTTTGAGATAGCTTTTCCCTTTTTAAATAAATATTTCATGCATTCATTCAACAAAGATTCATTGAGGGTCTATAATGTGCCAGGCAGTATTCTATGTGCTGGAGATTTATCAGTAATCAATCAAAAGTTTTTAAAGATACAAAGTTAATTTCAGATTTCCATAATTGGTAGAGGATTTTGTATTGATCTAGCAAATGTATGACACTCCATATTTCACCATTCAATATTTTCTTCTGAGTCACAGTGTTTGATGATAAAACTATATTATATTTAACTCTGACATACTGTAAGCAGTCTCACTACAACATGAAAAATGATGTTGAAAACACAAACAACAATCACTATCTAATTCAACAACTTTCTTTTCTAGAAAGCCAAATTTAATAATTAAAAATATCATCATAAATACAAAATGAAATATATGATGATAAATATAACTACACTATGTGTACATCCTCAATGATGTAAACGCAGACTGCAATTGACATCTTTGATTAAAGTCTTACTCCAAATCTAGTATTCTGGTTGCAAGGTACACGAAAATTTTATGAAAGAGAACATTTTATCTGGTCATTTAAAAGAAGTTAAACTCTGCATTCTTACTTGATGAATCAAAGAAATTTAACTCTTTGGCATAATTTCCAAGTTAAAAAAAAGTTGAATACTTTGTCTGATATCATAAAACAAAATAATTTTACTGTATATGTCTATACAATGAAGGGACATCAATTGCAGTTTGGTTTATTTTTGCTTACTAGCACCCCAAAAGGCTGTTAGCATAAAACAAACCCTCCTTTATGTACAGACCTTCATAAGGTTCTATCTCCTTGACTCCATTGTCTAGGGAAAACAAAATCAAAACAGAAACAAAACAAAAAAGGGAACCAAAGCACAGGGGTTAAAAACAACAGAAATTTCCAAAGGTACAGAATGTATTATCTACTAGAGAAAAGTTAAATGATTTAAATATATATGTATATTTGCAAAGCACATCCAATTACCAAATAAAGGGATCATTTTAAAAATGATCTTAAAAATCATTATATTCACTTATCCATGCTTTAAGAGGTTCTTTATCCAAAAATTTATAGATGTTTGGGAAGTATGTTCATGTGTGTGTCAGGAAATAGTGCTTCTTATACAAAAATGTAAAATTAATAAAAACATCAGTACAACATGCATCTTTCATTGTATATTCATGATGACCTTTTTCTTGTTCTCCAGTTTTGAGAAGGATCACCATTGTTGTGCATCAGCTAACCAGTCCTTTGAAGTGTGTGAAAATTGATTTGGCTAGTTACTAATACACTTTATATAACTATCAACAATTACATAAACTTAGTTGTAGCAAAAAGATATTATCCAATTGCTTATTTAAGAGTATTATGTTTATATTTTAAGATGCATTTATTTAAATTTTAAAATGTGCAAGAGCAATAAAGATACCTTATTTTACCTGGAAATATTACAAATTTTTATGCAAAAATACATAATATTTATAAATATAACTATTATCAAATACAGACAAGGCATACAACTAACACAAAGGTGGTAAGAAAATCTTGATTCACCTTAGCTTCCATGTGTATTTCCTAAACAACATAATTAGAAATAAAACTTACTTCTCTCCAGTGTTCCCTTTGGTGGAAGCTGTGGAAGCTGTCGGCCCCTTTGTCCTGCCAGTGGAGTACTTGATGGGCTTGTCTGGACACAGCCAGTATGAGGATGAGACCTAAAGAAACACCATCAATATTCATTTTCAGTACAATGAGTTACATATTTTTAATAACTGCATTTGGTTCATATGATAGCTGTATAAGCACAATTTGAAAAGAAGTTTAGCCACAGATTAAAAAGTTAGGAAAACTGGACAAAATATGGATATTTGAATGACTAAATAGCAAAAGATGTTTATTTTTGGTGTAATATGCATACATACACATACATGCACACAAAACCCTATAGTAAAATCCATGGAATTATTAATGTAAATTAGTATTCTATCCATATGAAAGCAAGAGGAGAATTTTGCAGCTCAAGAAAGAAAAGGTACTACTTTTCTTTCTACCAGATTTCAAACTTTTAACACTAACCTTTTTCCCTTGATCCAGAGATTTTTACTCAGGCTTATATTAAATATCTCTTCATTAGAAAACATCTCATGAAAGTACAAATAAAACCCTGAACAATTCAAGATTCAACTAAACAAAATACTGGTTAATACATAATATTAGTATTGATAGAAAGAAACTAAAAAATCTAGTTTTATTTATAATCATTATGATGATTTGAAAAGTGATGTGTAATGGACACAGATAGTTTCTCATTCTGTAGGAGAAGAATGACAGTTAATGAGGGAATTTACCCATGACTCCTGATTAATGAGAATCACAAAACAAATGCAGTCAGCGCAGTTAATAAACAGATTACAATGGTAGCCACACACTATTTATATTCACTGAATAGTGTGTTTACATTGAAAAGGTTAGTATCGATTGTTACTAGTGATCAGCCAAAGATGACAGAAGAGACCAGTTAGCTGCTGGGAAAATAAAATGGTGTGCTAGTGGAGCAAAGGGGAAGTTTAGTCTGATTGACTGATCTTTCACCTCGATAAGGCAGGTGAAGGAGGGGCAGATCTTCCGGTCATTAATGAAGGTATCGACCTCATGAGGTTTGTATTAGGACGTTCAGTGGATCTGGAGCGGGTGGTGGTCCGCTCAAGGAGAAGCTGTTGTTCTGTTGATCTGGATCTGTGATGTGGCTATCTGCTGCTTCACAATCCCTGAAATGCTAGTCAAAATGGCTCAAGCCTGTAATCCCAGCACTTTGGGAGGCCAAGGCGGGTGGATCACGAGGTCAAGAGATCGAGACCATCCTGGTCAACATGGTGAAACCCCGTCTCTACTAAAAATACAAAAATTTAGCTGGGCGTGGTGGCGCATGCCTGTAATCCCAGCTACTCAGGAGGCTGAGGCAGGAGAATTGCCTGAACCCAGGAGGCGGAGGTTGCAGTGAGCCGAGGTCGCGCCGTTGCCCTCCAGCCTGGGTAACAAGAGCAAAACTCCGTCTCAAAAAAAAAAAAAAAAAAAAGCAGCTCAGTTGATCTTTAGTGCCCTTCTGCTATTTGGTTATGATGTATCGAACTGATTTTGAAAAAGGTAATTGTTTAAAATTTTGGAGTATGTAAATCTTTTCTTTTCCCCAACATATTCTGAGCAATTTCAAACTAAAGAATTTCTTTTTTTTTTTTCACAACAAAAGTTGAATTTTATTATTATTTTTTTTTTTTTTTAATTTTTTATTGGATTATAGGTTTTGGGGTACATGAGCAGAGCATGCAAGACAGTTGCGTAGGTACACACATGGCAGTGTGCTTTGCTTTTCTTCTCCCCTTCACCCACATTTGGCATTTCTCCCCAGGCTATCCCTCCCCACCTCCCCCTCCCACTGGCCCTCCCTTTTCCCCCCAATAGACCCACTGTTTAGTACTCCCCTTTCTGTGTCCATGTGTTCTCATTTTTCATCACCCACCTATGAGTGAGAATATGCAGTGTTTCGTTTTCTGTTCTTGTGTCAGTTTGCTGAGGATGATGTTCTCCAGATTCATCCATGTCCCTACAAACGACACGAACTCATCATTTCTGATTGCTGCATAATATTCCATGGTGTATATGTGCCACATTTTTCCAATCCAGTCTATTATCAATGGGCATTTGGGTTGATTCCAGGTCTTTGCTATTGTAAACAGTGCTGCAATGAACATTCGTGTACATGTGTCCTTATAGTAGAACGATTTATAGTCTTTTGGATATATACCCAGTAATGGGATTGCTGGGTCAAATGGAATTTCTATTTCTAAGGCCTTGAGGAATCGCCACACTGTCTTCCACAATGGTTGAACTAATTTACACTCCCACCAACAGTGTAAAAGTGTTCCTTTTTCTCCACATCCTCTCCAGCATCTGTTGTCTCCAGATTTTTTAATGATCGCCATTCTAACTGGCGTGAGATGGTATCTCAATGTGGTTTTGATTTGCATCTCTCTGATGACCAGTGACAATGAGCATTTTTTCATATGATTGTTGGCCTCATATATGTCTTCTTTCATAAAGTATCTGTTCATATCTAAAGATTTCTTAAAAAAACAAAATCTGCCTTTCAAAGCAATTCTCAGTGAAGATAACAGTTGCTCAGTTATAATAAACAACAAACAAAACTGCCTGCTTTCTAAAATAAATTCCTTAAATGGAATATGTGAAATATGTGAATTATTCTATTTTTAAAGAATTCGATGACTTTCCTAACATTTTCAAGAGTGACGAAAACCACATAAGCATTAATTCTGTAGCACCTGAAGCTGTTCATTACTATACCAATTAAGATATAAAAAGGCTTTCAGAAAACACTATATACCTGAACATTTAAACAGAGGAATCAAGACAAAGTTATAAGAAAATAGGGTGACTTTGAAGTCTGTAGCCATATTTAAACCTTAATCTACAAGAAAAATCACTCTGCAGAGAACTGGTTAATTGGCTGTCTATTGGTGCACATTAGCTATGCCAACTGATTCAATTCAGAATGGGTATTGATTGAAATAATAATTCTGGAACAACATGATCTCTTTGACCACAAATAAATCTAACACCAAAACTTACTCCTTGTTGAAGGAAGTATCCTTAAATTTGAGCAACCTCTCATTGTTGACCTTTCTATCCTTGGAACCTAGCATAATACTTTTACATCTAACATGATCAATAAATGTTTTCTAATACCAGCCCCACAATTTGGGAGACAACTTTAAAAGCACTAGCTTTGGCTCCAGAATTCAAAAGTAAAACATATGCAAAATCATATTTCAAATAAAACTATTACCTCACCATCCTGTTGTAACCACAAAAATGGAAATGTTTATATACTATAGTCAGGAGAGCATTAGTCTCCCTCAAAACTAATGTTTCAATGACATCCACGTTACCTATAAGTTATCTCAACCTTATTTTAGATAATGAAAAATGCAAGCAATTAAAGAAAAATAAGGAAAAAAAAGGACCTAATTTCCCAGATGTCATGAATTATATGGCAAAATTTTGTACTAGTTGTCATTAGATTCGGTGACTTTAGAAAGTGAACATTGGCTTTATTGTACGCCATATCTTGTGAGTATTTTACATTTTAAAGTCTAGGGTAACACAGAAGTCAGAGCATCTGTAAATACTTTTAAGTCCATATCCTATCATGTGATTGACTTTCTAACGTAAGTTTAGTGTTTGCATATAAGTCCATCCAGAACATGTCAAAATAACTGACACTAAATGTAAACACACGTAAAACATTTAACTACTAGTGTGGTTAAATGGCAAGAGAAATGAACATGTTGCCTCATAGCGTAAATATCATAGTTGTCTTTTCATTTCTGAAAAGCTATTTTAAAAGAACACTTTTCTTTAGAAATAAATGTGTTCAGTAGTTTGCTACGTGTTTTCAGTCTAACATCTTTATAAATCTTCATCACAAAAAAACAGAAACAAAGGGTATATCTCTCTATATATTATTACCTAAATTGCATAAAACCTATTTATAAGAGTACTGTCTTTACATTTATTTTAAAAAGTTCTTATTTTACATTAATAATAAACATGTTATCACATAACAAAACTTTATGAAATAGCTACAATTACCCTAACAGAAATTTAGACTAATCCTTCATTTATTCATCTACAATTTCATTTATTCTGATTCCATCAAGAATTTTTTCCAGGTGAAAAGTAAAGTAAATTTCAGAATATGCCGTTTCACTTATTTGTGAAGAATTATTTTTAATAAATGAAAAATATGGGGCCAGGCGTGGTGGCTCATGCCTGTAATCCCAGCACTTTGGGAGGCCAAGGAGGGTGGATCACGAGGTCAAGAGATCGAGACCATCCTGGTCAACATGGTGAAACCCCATCTCTACTAAAAATAAAAAAAATTAGCTGGGCATGGTGGCACGTGCCTGTAATCCCAGCTACTCAGGAGACTGAGGCAGGAGAATTGCCTGAACCCAGGAGGCGGAGGTTGCAGTGAGCTGAGATCGCGCCATTGCACTCCAGCCTGGATAACAAGAGTGAAACTCCGTCTCAAAAAAAAAAAAATGAAAAATATGATTATGAGTGAAATCTAGATAATCATTTTATTTTTTTAATTAATTAATATTTATTTTTGTTTTTTTATTGCATTTTAGGTTTTGGGGTACATGTGCAGAACATGCAAGATAGTTGCATAGGTACACACATGGCAGTGTGTTTTGCTGCCTTCCTCCCCTTCACCCACATTTGGCATTTCTCCCCAGGCTATCCCTCCCCAGCTCCCACCTCTGCTGTCCCTCCCCTATTCCCCCCAATAGACCCCTGTGTGTAGTACTCCCTTCCCTGTGTCCAGGTGTTCTCATTGTTCATCACCCGCCTATGAGTGAGAATATGCGGTATTTCATTTTCTGTTCTTGTGTCAGTTTGCTGAGAATGATGTTCTCCAGATTCATCCACGTCCCTACAAACGACACAAACTCATCGTTTTTGATTGCTGCATAATATTCCATGGTGTATATGTGCCACATTTTCCCAGTCCAGTCTATCATCATTGGGCATTTGGGTTGATTCCAGGTCTTTGCTATTGTAAACAGTGCTGTAATGAACATTCGTGTACATGTGTCCTTATAGTAGAACGATTTATAGTCCTTTGGATATATAC